AACCCTAAACCCTAAACCCTAAACTCTAAACTCTAAACCCTAAACCCTAAACCCAAAGCAAAGACCCTAAACCCTAAACCCTAAACCCTAAACCCTAAACTCTAAACCCTAAACCCTAAACCCAAAGCAAAGACCCTAAACCCTAAACCCTAAACCCTAAACCCTAAACTCTAAACCCTAAACCCTAAACCCAAAGCAAAGACCCTAAGCCCTAGTTCTGCCTGGGGACAGCTCCTGGGGCCTGAGGTCTTCAGGGTTTAGGGTTTAGGGTTTAGGGTTTAGGGTTCTTTAGGGCTTCTAGAGTTTAGAGGGCTTATGGGGTTTATAGGGTGGCTTTAGGGTTTAGGGTTTAGGGTTTAGGGTTGGTTTATAGGGCTTATAGGGTTTATAGGGCTTATAGTCGGGAGGGCCCCCTTTCGGGCTTTTTTGGTTTTCACGGAGTCGTTTGAGGGTTTCTGAGAGGGTTTCTACGAAGGAAACTCCGTTACAGAATCCTATAGTCCCCTTTGTTTGTACCCTTAAAGGGATTATTTATAGAATCCCATACGAATCCTTCAGGGTTTCTGCTTGGAGGGTCGGGGGTAATAAATAGAGTTATAAGTACCCCAAAAGGGGGGGATGATACTTATAACTCTATAAAAAAAAACCACTTACTAAGTCCCCCGCCCCTGCAAGACCCTAAACCCTAAATCCCTATAAGGGTGCCCAAAGCTGTAGAACCGGGGATCTTCGGAAGCTTGAAGGTGTCTAGGCCAAGGTCGTTGAGGGCTGCGTCCATGTTCCTGGGTTTAGGGTTTCTAGGGGCTTAGTTTTGGGGTTTATAGGGTTTCAGGGTTTATAGGGGTGAAGGGTCTATGGGGGTTTAGGGTTTATAGGGTTACGTTTAGGGGTTTAGGAGTTTCGGCTTTTGTTGGGCTTCAGGTGGGGATGTCAGGTTCGTTGTGACCTGTGTTCACGTTGAGAGGCCCCAAGCCCGAATGCCTTTTTGGCACATCTGACTGGGTACTTTCGGGTTCAGGGTTTTTGGGTTTAAGACTTCGGGGCCTACCGATTTCGGGTTTAAGGCAGGGTTCGCTGTAGCATCTAAACCTCAGATGTAGGTGTTTAGCTGTGTCCACACCATCTCCTGCACATGCAAGCTTCATGCGTTCCACCCTAAACCCTAAACCCAGTCTCTTGAAGACCCAGAGAATCCAACAAAAGCAAAAATGCCTGTACTCATCGCAGAAAGCCTCTAACTTCAAAGACTAAGCCCTAAACCCTAAACCCCTAAACCCTAAACCCTAAACCCTAAGGCGCGAATGCTTTAATGATCGCCGACTTCAAATAGAAAAGTTCCACTAAACGGCCCTGCAGACACTTGAAGCAACCAGACAATAGGTCCTCATGCAGCCTCGGCCACAGTTCCTCGAGGACGTGGAAGGGTGAAGGGAGAGACGTACAATGATGGCGGTGTGGGGTTGAAGATTTCGAGTTTAGGGGTCAGAAAAAAGATTGCCAATGAATTACACGCTAAACCCAACACCCTAAAATCCTATATAGCCCCCATGCAAAGCCTACATGATGGTCGCAGGAGAGGAATGGCTAATGCTTTGAGCACCTAGATAATTTTATCTTGCAAAAACCTCAACAACCTATCCTACCCATTAAGGCCCTTATACGAAACACTCCAAAACACACGGACCGCCACAAAGCCCGCATCATTGTCATAACACTTGTTTCGGCTGTTGAAGGCCCCAACATGGCAGCCCCAGCAAAATTGAACGAATCCAACAACCCTACAGCTCAAGCACAAAGTCCATCCCCAGAAATTCCTGGGGCTAAGGTTTAGGGCGTAGGGGCTACGAGCCGAACTCCAAAACCCGAAGCCCCGAAGCCCTGAGCTTGCCGCCCTAAACCCTATATCATTTAAACCATGGAGGGCCCTATACTAGGGTTTAGGGTTCAGGGGCTTTGGGTTTAGGAGTTTAGGCTTTCGGGGTTTAGGGTTTCAGGTTGAGGGTTTAGGGTTTACGGTGCATGGTGTGGCCTTGTTGGGAGATCCCAGAGCTCGGCTCCG